TTATTGATTTGAAAAACTTAAGCATTTTTTCACCAAAAAAATGTAACATCATTTCTATCAATAAACCACACCATATAATCGCAAAGGGCTCTAGAAACAAAAACAATGGTCTCTATAAACTTGACTATATTAACAACTATCCACCTTTGTGTAAAAGCTATAAAACCTCAAATCCAGCAAGCTTGCTGAAGGGCATCGACCTTGAGGTAAAACACATGTCAAAATCAACATCTCTTGAGATTAACCAAATCGATCCAATAGCCTCAATGAAACCAACATTGTTTATACTCAATAGTGCTTTGACAAAATAAATAAATTTGGAAGTCATCAACATATTAAAGTAAATAGACCTTAAACTTAATATTTTTGTAAGAAAAAAATTAAAATTGAGAGATAAGAAATTCAACTACTTAAATTATAGAAACTTACAACTATTCACATCTCAAGTAATCAGTATTCCAAATTTTTTGATTACAAATGAAACCTGTACAATCTTCCATGATGCAAAATAGACTTGATAAAAAATACCAAAGAAATCTAATACATGCACAATGTCTTTGCTAGCTCTTATATATGTAGATATTTTTGGACCTTTTTCCATCAAATCTTTGGAACATAATCAATATTCTTTGCTCTCCATAAATGATTACAACTTCTTCTCATGGATTTATTTCTTGACAATAAAAATCAAGCACTTCAAATGTCCTACAACTTTCATACTATGATAGAAAAATAAACTATGTACCACTTACTTTGTTTGCATTCTAATAAAAGAGGCAAATTTACCTTGGCTAAATTTATGTATTACTTCTAACAACATGGAATTATCTGCCAAGTCAATATGGCTCAGACACCTCAATAAAATAGGGTATCAAAATTTTAGAATTGTACCATACTGAATCGATTCTATGCTATGCTTATCATTGAATACGTACCCTACTTCTTTTGGACTAAAGCTATGTATATTACAGTTCAATTTACAAATAATAGTTCTACTAAATTTAACAAAGGCTAAACACCATATGAGCTTTTGGCAAACAAATAATCCAACCTCAATAGAATCGGAGTATTCAGATGCTTCTATTTTATTTATTCAGATGCTTCTATTTCATGTAATATTATAAAATTAAAATCGGTTCTATTTTGGGCATCCATCTTAACTTAGATGATATTTCCAAAGTATATGGAGTGTATCTACTATCATTCAAAAAAATTCAAATATCATTAGATGTTTCATTAGATAAAAATTATTTTTTCAACACTGAACATGATCTTGCATCTGCAATCAATAATTATGCCTTTGCTTTCTTTCAAACCATTGGACTACCTAGCATTGATCACATAGACAACCTTCCAAGTATCTTGAGTATACAACTATCTAATTTAAATTCTAACTTGATAAAACAAGACATTGAAGCATCAATTCCAAAAAATCAGACTATTTAACTTTAATTCCACTTTGGCTAAGTAAAATTTATCAAAAATAGTGGTCACAGATATTCAATCAAACTCAAAAAATCCAATAGAACCATCTTTATGTGACACCATTATATCACCACCTAATTTTGTTCATCACCTTTTCAACGTTAATAATGTGGATGAATGGCCAACGTCTGCAATAGCTAGTGATCTTGCTTTTTATTTTGAAATTACTACTGATACATTTCAAATGATATAAGGTCAAGAATTAAGACAACTAGGATCAACTCTTCAAATTCATCACACTATAATACAGCCAATCTGGCTTCAAGACTACTTTTATAATTTTTTAGACTTATCTATTGAATCAAAGTCATATGAAGAAGCAACTCAAGACAAAGGTTGGAAAAACTCAATGATTGATGAAATCAAATCAATTCATGACAATAAAACATTAGAACTTATCACTCTTTGTTTAGGCTACCAAACTATATCAATAAATTGGATATATAAAGCAAAAATGAAAATAGATAGCATTCTACAAAAGAAAAAATTACAACTAATAGTTTGAGGTTTTAAACAACAAAAAGGACCTAATTATGAAGAAACTTTTGCTCTTGTAGTCAAATGGAGCATCATACAAATGTTTTTAGCTATTTTTATATAAAACAAGTGGAAACTATATCATATAGATGTAAAAACTATTTTTTGTTATAGAGAATTTAAAGAAAAAGATTATATTATTTAACCTAAAGGCTTTGGAGAAGAAGGACAAGAATACTTAATATGTCAATTACACAAAGCTTTTTATGGCCTAAAACAAGCACCAAAAGCATGGTACGACAAAATTATTATTTTATTTTTATTTTTATTTTTATTAAATCAAGACTTTTCAAAAAGAGAAGGAGATTATAACTTCTACGTCATTTACCATCATGAAAAAAATTCTACTTCTAATCTTCTATATAGATGATTCTTTATTTACAAGAAATTATATTGACTAGATTACTTGATTTAAATCATAATTTGAATCAAAATTCGAGATGTTGGAACTAAAAAAAAAAAAAAAAAAACTCTATATTAAGGCTAAAATAATCGAAGTACCACAAGGACTATTTATAATACAATAAAATTATGTATTACAAGTAATTTGCCATTTTAACCTTAAAAGATGTCAATCAATGTCTATTCTTATGATTGAAAGATTAAAACTTATAATTGATATGAATAAAAGTACTGTTGATCCAACCTACTACTGTCCTATAGTGGTTAAATTTATATAATTAGATCACTCTTAACATGATGTTTCATACTCCATTGGAATTCTTAGTTATTTCATGCTAAAACCACAAGTTCCTCATTTATTAGTAGCAAAAAGAATCTTGAGATATATTATAGGAATATTGGATTATGAAATATTCTATCTCAGAAATTCACCAACAATACTATCAAGCTTTGTAGATACAAATTGAGTAAGCGAGTTAATTGATGGTTGATTAACAATGGATTTTGTTTTCAAACTAGGAGCCAATTCAATCTTTTGGCTTTCATAGAAACAAGCTATAATTACTTTGTCCTCATTAGAAGCAAAATACATAGGCTTGTCGAAAGCATCTAAAAAATTAACATGGCTGAACAAACTTTCATGTGATTTTGTATTAGAGATTTTAAAACCAATTTCAATATTTTGTGATAATGAGAAAAGCATTAAAATGGCAATAAATCTAGAAATCAATACATGTATAAAATATATAGCCATACATTATTTAATAAGAGAAAAAATAGAAAAGAATAAAATAAACTTAATTTATATGCCTTCTTTAGAATAAATAGCTAACATCTTCACTAAATGATTGGAATGTTGTCATATTATGTGTATTCTTGCTTGAGAATGCACCAGGTACCTAATTATGGAAGGTAAGTAAGAATGGAAGAATAATCCTATTAAATCTAATGGAATCTTAAATAACCTTAAGTAGACCTTAATAATTGTGATTGAACTTTGGCCAATTAAAAATAAATTTAAAAGTAGTTATAAAAGAAATATAAAGAAATTCTAAACTAATTTTGAAGAAAAATAATAAGAAATATTTAAAAAATATAAAAATAAATCCTTAAAGAAATAAAAATAATCTAAAAGAAATACTAAAAATATAAATCCTAATATAATCCTAATTAAAATCTTAATTGAATCTTAACCAAACCTTAGGACAAATCATAGATTAAATCCTATTTAAAATCCTAATTAAATTTTAATCAAATTCAAGGTTAAATCATAATTGAAACTCTAATGAAATCCTAAATCCTAGACAAATCCTAGACTAGTTCTAAATCAAATCCTAAGCAAGTCTTAGACCAAATCCGAAACCAATCCTAATCAAATTCTAGATTTTAAACAAACTCTTAATAAATTCTATAGCAAATGGAACCTCAACCACTAATAATTGAATTGTTGATATCAACTAAAATTTTGTACACTTCTTAAGGTCTTAATCAAGAACAAGGACAAGAAAGATGAAATCAATTGTACTTACTAATTGAAAAAAAAACAACATAATCTAATTAGGAGTTAGGCAACTTCTTACTTCAATGTAAATACTAAACTTCTAGTGCTAATATTTCCTTCTTGAACCATTGAATTACTTCTAAATTTCACCTAAAATATTAAAAATCAAGTTTAATATCCATATATAAAAAATTCACTTTAATCCAATTAATAGATTGTTAAAAATCTTAGAAATACTTAGTGACCTTCTAACTCCAATTTTTGAGACCTCTACCTACAAAAACCTTCATTCACTTTGATCTACCTATTTGATTGATATCAAAATTTGCATACATATTAACAACTAAAACATCAATACAATATCCAAAATTCACTTATACAAACACTATAGAACTCAAAAAATCCTCAAATTTATAAAAATATTTTTATTTCTTAAAAATCTAAACCAACCAAGAATATTATTAATTTTAAAAATCTCTTAAAAACTCAATATTGACTTGATTGATATAAAACCAATGCTTAGAAATCTCTCTTCAAGTTTGCTTTTAAATTCCACTCTCCAATCTATCAAAGAACCCTAAAGTCATTGTAGGTGCATGATATTGTGCCTCAAGGTTTGATTTTGACCCAGGTTGACAACTAGTCCTCTTTAGATATCCATACTTAGCTTCTTGAAGTAATTTTTGCTAAAATCTATTCTTAACTCCTTCCTATACATAATTATATCATTTTTTTATATTATTTATTTTGATTTGGCTTATTTATACCTTTGCAAAGTAAATAGAAGTTCCTTCTGTGACTAAATCAAAGTCATGAATCCCAGACCTCAAATACATCAACAGACTCTTGGAAATCTACCTCAGAATTTTGTTCATATCAACATTCTAAACTAGAAAACTTATGACAACTCCCCACACTAATCAAATCAACTTTCTCCTCTTCATATGGCACTTGGTCACAACCTAGCAAATCAACTTTTTCTTTTTCATATGGCACTTGGTCACAACCTAGGGTTAAAGAAAACATGCAAGATAGGAGGTACCAAGAAAGGATCTCGAAGGACTATAAACAAACATTCTGGGAAAAAAAAGACTCGTGATTACCACAACAACAACAAAACAAAAAATAAAATAAAATAAAAAATCTACCACTTCCAAAAATAAATAAGCAACGATGAATCACTATCATCTGCAAGAAGCTTCCAGGTTTTAGAAGTAGGGCTCTTAGATCTTCCTGCAAAATATTTTCGAAGATGATCTCGTAGTGAGGGAGGGTGTGGGAACATCCATCCCTACTTATCATCTACTCTAGATGATCCTGATATGGACGAACTAAGATCCGGACTCAGCGCCGAACTCTCAGGAACTAAACTCTTGTGCTTTAGACTGCGAGTTTTCAGTCGCAGTTTGTAAGTAAGTCCAATGTTTGATTTTGCTGAAATCTTTGTTTTATTCCATTCTCACCACTTTTCGTCACTGCATTCACTGCAGCGTCGAAATTGTTGGAAGATGGCTCACAAACTGTGAGACTGGACCAAGGCAAGCCGTGAGAGCCATCCATAGAGGACGACGAGCACATGAAAAACCCGCAGTCATCACTCAAATTGTCAAAAAGAGTGTCGTCGCTCATGAGATCTACCTCAATGGTGTCATATGCATCACCGAGCATTTTCATATCCTCGTCTTTCCCGCGCGAGACGCAGGTCTTTTCATCACCATCAGTAATTCTTTTGACTTGAACTGGGCACATGGGTTTGGAGGAATACGACGTCCCCTCAACCTCGGGGGTTAAGGTGACAGGCTCCTTCACAGGTCGTGAACCCTTCGGCGAGGCCTCCTTCTTCATGGTTTTCTTCGACATCACATCGGACCTGGAGGTCGTTGTAGTGATGTGCTCGACCTTTTTACTGGTGCTAAAATTTGTATGTGCTTGCGGTCCATGAATCTCTTGTGCGGCTTGTTCAGCAGTATCGTATGTTCCCAACCATAGCCGGACCCGCTTGGAGGGATCCTGGATCTCAGCGGCCCACTTGCCCCATGGTCTCTGCCTCACGCCTCTGTATTTGTGAGGCTTGCCTTCGTTTGTTGACACAAGTGAGGCAGATTTCGGCTGAGACTTCTCGAGTACCGTGAATTTTGCGGTGGCCATTGGTGCGCTGCGAGTCCCATGTGAAGAGAGCTTGCTGCTTCTCACTGTCCTCGCGACTGGAGCGGATTACTCAACGACTGAAGCAACCCCGGGGACCTTCTTCAAGGCACCTTGGGAGCATTCTTTTACGATTGTCATGGTTCGTCGTAGAAATTGGGCGACGCCACCACGGTCTCGCCATCGGCTGGGCTAGCATAGCTCATGGAGCACTGCATTCCCTTGGCAATGAAAACACTGTGATAGCTTGGCGTCTAAGGCTCATCAAGCTCACTATCAGAAGACAACTCGTTCACCGCAAATGACTCGGTGGACGTGTAAATCTCCTGAACTAATCTCCGCTGCAAATTTCGCAGCGAGCGAAAATCGTCCTCTTCATTACTAGACGAATCCGTGGCGTCTGGGTCGGTACAAATCACTCTCACTCTCTTGGGACTAGTATAAAATCTGTTGCTCAGATGGTATTCCTCGTCATTAGAAGATGACAAAGAATTCTCCCGCTTCAATGTCTTTCCCGGCGCCACCTTTGCAATCTGCCACTTCAGCAGAGACGCAACCGACGCTATCATGCCAAAATTCAGCATTTTGCCTACGGGGCTAGAAATTCCGCACTGATGGTGCTCAAATTTATCACACGCCCTACCACTCTTTTATATTTCCCTATTCAATATGATTCTTTTAACTTACTGAGAGATTCTCACACAAGTCTTTGGTCGCTCAGTGAGCAAACTATATTTGACATAAATCTCATGGGCGACGACACTCTTTTTGACAATTTGAGTGATGACTGCAGGTTTTCCATGTGCTCGCCGTCCTCTTTGGATTTAACATAATCCTGGACCAGAATATCACAATATCAATGGGTAACGCGAATTGCACGACCAGGCTGTTACAGTTGCATATAAAGCATGTTGATAGAAATAATCCAGCAAGTGGCTAAATACTTTGACAGTAACGCATAGAGACTTGCGAGACAAGTGAAGCAGATTCATGTCGTAAGGGAAGGACTGAGAAGTGGGTTAGTCTCCGAAATGTAAGCAGGCAAAACAGACTAACTCCAAACAGGCGAGGGTTTGGAGTAGGTGCTGTGAAGTTCAAAATAACTTGTTTGTAACAGTTTACAATAATTTTATCACAAATATCATGCTTGCAGCAATGCAAGCCACGATAAGAGCGGAGTAGATAGGTTAGGAGAATGTAAAGATTTAGAACATATGTTACATCCTCGCAATTTGGAGGCATGGCTGTAGTTTTCCTGTACAGAGAGTGCAGTGACATAACCGCACCCAGGATATTACAATGTTCCAATATCTTTCACTGTGATAATCTGCAGGTTTGAGCTGCAAACCAAAGTATGTGGAGCGCTTCGTGTTTAGCAGAATGATTCGTCTAAAAAGCTGAAAGTAGTCTTATAGGTGCTGCTGGAGTTATACAATTGAGAATGAACAGTTTCGTCATAGAAAATCACATTTGGCAGGGGCCGGGTATTTACTTGGCGTGCCGAAGGCGGGGCTCGCTCCTGCTGCGAACCCAGAGACGTAAAATGAGAAACATTACACGGGCGAGCACAGTCTATGCGTGAGAGCCAACATATCTAAGGACAAAAAATTACAATTTTTTATTTATTGTAACCTAAATTAATCTTCAGGCATATTACTCATCATGATAGCGAGGATCAAAATAGGAAACATATAAGAAAGAGTTCTGAGTCCGTACTACAACTTTTCGAACTGATTTGCTAGACACGGCTTCGGATGGCGTAACAGGCTGCTGCTCGTCCATCTGCTTGAAATGTTTTCGGAGTGCTTGAATAGCCTCTTTGCATATCAATCTGGGGTCAATTGAAGAGTATTAGAAGGGAGCGTCCACTCTGTGTTCGTTATGAGCTAGTTTCATGCAGATCTGATGATCAATTGCATTTATACCTGATCAAGCTCACAAGAAAGGCGATGCTTATCTGTGCAGTTGCTAGGGAGTATGGATGTTAACACGCGCCTCGTGAGAAAGGATACGAAGTTAAAAATTCAAGACACCCCGAGAAAATTTCCTCACTGTAAGGAACCGAGAGTGCAGAGATGAGAGCTTACCCATTCGATCGTAATCGCAAGTTAAGAAAATCGGCTGAAAGCCACTTAGATGTGACATCGTCATAATCTACATTTGACAGGTTGTAGTCGTCCTCACCCTGCTGAAACACACTCTTTATGTAAGAAATTCGCATGATGTTCGCTACCTGGCTGTCTGGGTGACGAGATGAGTGGACTCTGAAGGAACCAGTTCAGAATGGCTACTCTCTTTGAGCTTCACAGGACACATGGAGGCGAATCATCTGCAAATGTATTTACAAGTGAAATAATAACATTAAAATGGGAAAGGCAACAAGAGTACCAAGGAGTTTCGTGGAGAAGTAGTCTTGGCAAGTCTGTGAGGTGAATTAGGTGATCCTCTCACTCCTGCAAATAACACTACAGTTGTGAAGCTTGAACAGCACCCAGCCGCTTGCAAATTCGAAGCCATGATTTTCTCAAGAATTATCTCTTCTTAACAAACTTACGGACCTCGTCAGAATCAGGAATTCGAACCGATGACACTTCAGATCTGCATCCGATAAAAAATACTCCGAAATTAAATAATACTCGTGACATCAATTCTCAATTTCGAAAGTTGAACATATTACGTGTGCCTAAGCAGAACTCAGCAACGGACGCACAGGAGGTTGCGCATGGAATTTGGAGAATGATTTGCTGCTCAAAAGAGTCAAATCGACTAAACCAAGTAGTGGTCTAACCTGATGTTGGAAGAGGAAAATGATTTCAGAGTCAGCTATACAAAAATACGAAAGGAATGAACTCGATTCCTCTGCTTATGGAGATTGCCGTCGTCAAATTGGATGAATCTTTCACGCAGCGGAAGCATGCGATCTTCATACAATCCGGGACTAGGTTAATGTGGCACCAAGTGGATAAGGCTACTATTCACGCTACATCTGTGGAAGCCATGAATGCGTGAGGTAACGAAAGATTCAAAATCTCAAAAGAAAAACTTAAGCAAACGACCTCATTAGCAAAAGTATAAGGTTAAACCGAACTGACCACTCACACACAACAGCGACAAGTAGCGACTCTAGGTTTCTGCATGAACCTAAGCAAGATTATTTTGGTCGAGGATCAACCTCAATCGAGCCTTGTGCATGCACCAGATGCCTCTCGCAGGAACTGCACCTGTGATCTACGTTGTTCATTGAGAGATATCTACCCTCGGACGAGAACCGATAGACAACCATCTTCCGTCTCTGAAGTTCTCTAGTGCCATCTCAACTACAACCATTTCACTTCCATTGGATACTTCAGCGGACTTCGAATGGATATTCAAGAAAATCTCTCTTTAATCAATTGCGGTCAAAATGCCGTGTTACGTCGTCCACATCCGCAAAACTAAACCAGTGCCACACAGCTTGATTTTTGTCCGCCAGGCCCCCCGCTTCCACAAGATCCCTCCTTCTGTCGCCATTCGAAGAATGATAACAGTCATCGGGTTACAGCGACGAATCAAAAGTTAGCAACAGCGTGGTGGTGGTCAAAGAAAAGCGAGAGAGAGGAGGGCACACTTGCGGGAATGTCAGACTTAGATCAATCGATGCGAGCCATTTCAATGCGCAGATACTCTACTGATGACATCAGATCTGCTGATGACAACAGATGTATGTAAATGTGCAGAGAGTTCACTCAATTACTGTTGGATGCGTATGTAGTATGAATATAGTACACTACTTGAACAATTGTGATATGAACAGTTGTGACTTCAGATTCTAAGATAGTTGAACAATATATATAGAGAGAGCTGTAAACATTGTTATTATTGCAATTAGTCTTACTCCTTATTCTTATTCTTGGTTCTCATGTAAATCCTTCATGGTATCATAATGAATTCTCATGAATTTCAATTCTTGTGCTTAAAGCAAAATTGCTCATAAATCTACATTTCAACAATCTAATATGAAGATTGAGGCTGGTGCAAAGTTTCAAGTCTTCAACTTCATAGAAAGTGATTTTAATCATGTCCAAACAAAATTACAACTTGTAGATGATATTGAACTAAAAGTGATTCAAATAAGCTTTTCATCTTTATAAGGAAGCTTGAGGTTTATTTTAAAAAATATTAAGAATGATTCACAAGGTTGATATCAATCATGTTTCTAAATTCAATGGCACCTATTTTAATATTTAACAATATATATTGATATTAGGTTTCAAAGTTAAAAAATTCTCATTCAATTTTGTTTATTGAGAGATATTGTCAAGGACAAGAACATGATAAAAACAAATAAACAAGTGAAACTTCTCTCAAAGAAAGATGACAAAATAGAAATAACTTGATATGTATATTAAGAAAGAAACTAGAATGGCTATTGCCAAAAGCCAAGAAAACTAGAGATCCTTGAAACTAGATTGGAAGCAAAAAAAGAGTTGACAAGAGTGAAGAAGGCTTCACTCTTGTCTCTATATATACTATCTAACTAGGGGCTACGTGGCGATGTTCTATAGGACCTCCAATATGTGTTGACTTTGTAGGACACATCCCTTGACTTATTAGGCAAGTTTTTATATGTGTGGGCCACATAGTTAGTTTGGTCTTCAAGTTAACAACATGTGTGGCACATGGTCAACTTATTGACTATGTTTCTAATCCAAAAAGTCAATTAAAGACACCTATAAAATCAAAACAGCATCTATGAGGCTTCTAAGAAGCTTCTATAGCAAATATTATAGAATTAATTTACTTTTATCTACTTTTACTTACTTCTACTTATTTATACATGTAATTACTGGCTTACATGCATATGTCTATGACATTACTCCCTCTTCTAAGGACGAATTCTATGAGGAGCGGTCAACATATGTTGAAGAAATCTATGATGCGACAAATTGTATTCGCCACATACTTTGATCTTTGTTCTCTTCGAAGATGATTGATAGGGCCTCTCAACCATCGGTAGTGTCCCATACCGAGGCGGGAGGACTACCCAGTTATTTGATTGTTGTTGAGGCCTTCATAACTTCTTTTGAATAAAACATTTGAAACATTGTCAGGAGTTGTTCCTACCTCTAGTAAAATCACCAAACATTGAGAGTTCCTTCCAAGGTCGTGATACCAAATGCGTTGTATCTCACCATCTATTTGAGGAAGAATATGTCATTCTTGAAGATCTTCATCTCGATTACGTTGTCTTGAAGGTTGTGACAATCGTAATGTCTCGTCCAGTAGGTCAACAAATGAAGGCTCTTAAGTTGAATCCGTTGATTGTTGGTTCTCCATCTCCTCAGTGTCACAACTACAAAGAAGCTACAAACAAGGATTGAAAGTAGAATGTTATCTTGCTTAGATCTTGTTTCTTTTATAACAAAGATTTTTATCTTGATTTTGATGGATGTGGTCGATGAAAAGCCTCCACTACCTTTGCTGCATTTACAAGATTCTTTACTGGCTTCTATGTGTGTTCACTAATATCATATCTATACCAATGGATAAGACATTTTAATTTATTTTGGTGCCGCCTTGAATCCAAGACTTCTTCCACTTTAAATTCTTCATTATTATCTACTTCTATAAGATGAGGTAGAGCTTGTCTTCTTCTTGGTATGTCCACTGTCTTGTATGATTCAAGAAGAGACACGTGGAATATTGGATGGATTTTCATTGAGTCCGGTAGGTGTAAACGATATGCAATTGGATTGATTTGTATAAAAATAGAAAATGGTCCAAGCCTTCAATAGTCCAACTTGTCACAAGGACGAGTGCTCTTGATATTCTGATGAAGTAACCATACCTTATCACCCATGTGGAATGGTGGTTGTTCCTTTCGGTAGACATCCGCATTGACCTTTTATTGTTCTTGAGCTTCTTTTAACTGTGCCTTCATTGTTGAATGTAGCTATGACAAATGAATTGCCAAATCTTTTGTAACAAGATTATCAACTTTTGAAAATTCAAAAGTATCAAGTCATGGATGATAACCATAATTGGCAAAGAAAGGTATTTGTTTTATAGAAGAATGTACCGTGTTATTGTAAGCAAACTCTGCCAATGGCAAAAGATTTGTCCAATCATCTTGTTGGTAGTTAATGCTACATCTTAAATACTGCTCTAAAACTTGATTAACAAGCTCCATTTGTCCATCAATTTGAGGATGGAATATCGAAGGTAGTTTTATATCCACTTTTATAATCTTGAAAAGAGTCTGCCAAAATTTTTATACAAATTGAGTTCCCCTATCTGATATAATATCTTTGGGTAATCCATAATAGCGATAGATATTGTCTAAAAAGAGCTTAGCTATTTCTTCACCTGTGATAGATTTTATACATGGTACAAAATCTGCCATCTTCGTAAAACGAACTACTATCACGAATATAGAATCATAAGAACTTGAGATTCGAAGATCCATGATGAAATCCATAGAAACAGAAGACCATGGTTGTTCTGGAATGGATAATGGCTTAAGAAGTCCATAAGGTTGACGACGAGGAGTTTTTGATCTCGAGCAAACATCACAATATTGTACAAAATCTTTGACTACTTTCCACATTTGGGACCACCAAAAGTCCTTGGATATTAGTTCCAAAGTTTTATTGTACCCAAAATGTCCTACTACTGGAAAGTTATGACGAGCTTGAAGAACACGTAATCGAGTTTGACTTTCTGGAACATATAGGCGTCCCTCAAAATATAGTAGATTCTTCTTGAATTCAAACTTGGAAATATCATGAGACTTTGAAGGATTTTTCTTAATATCATAAATAAGAGGATCACATATTACAAAAACTAAGAAATGCAAGACTTGACGATGACGAGTCTTTTCTTGCTCAGTAAGAGGTTTGAGACATATCGCATCAATTTGCATATTCTCTACTTCTGAATGTATGTGTTGAAGAGATGTTGGTGTTGCCATTGAATTATAATAACGTTGAGGTCTACTTATACGGTTCTCAGATTCGAATTCAAAAAGATGATTGTCGCACTTCATAGCAAAGTCAATTGCTTGACTCAATGTTTGAGGATCAAGTAAGTTGAGCATTAATTTTTTTACCTCATATTGTAATCCGTAGAGAAATAGGCTAATAAGCGCAGCATCATCCCACTTGATATCAGTTGCAAGTTGTTGAAATTGTGAAGCATACAACGTTACTGATCGATTGCTTTGTCGCAAAGTACGAATCTTATTGGTTGCAATACAAATTGCATCATGTTTTTCATACATGGATTGAAACTCCACCAAAAAAGCTTTTAGATTATCTAATATTGGATCTCGTCGTTCAAGAAAAGATGAAAACTATGATAATACTGAACTTGAAAGAAGCGTATCAATGAATCTAACTTGTGATCTTAGAGTTGGATAGCTTTGGGGTTGAAGTTCAATCACGAGTTGTACTTGATTGATGAATCCTCTAAACTTTGATCTGGTACCATCAAACTTCTTGAGTAGGGCAATTCTTAGTTCTCTAATACTAGAAGGGCGTTCCACCATAGGAGAAAGGACATGATTTGGTGCAGATGTTGAAGCAGCTCCAATCATTTCTATATCTTCACTTCCTGCCAATCTTGTTGCTCCTTGTGGTGGTAAATTGAGTTAATGCATCGCAAGCATTAACTCCTTCAATTGCTCCTGCATTTGTACCATTGCACTCTTCATTTCAGCAAGTTCTGCCATGATAATACTTAGAAAAGAGAAGATGTCTAATATCGCCTAAGACAAATAGAAGAGAGGACTTGAGAACAAAGAAAATACTAAGGACAATATCAGTTTAGAAGAGGATAATCTGCAACTTCTAATATGCTTATGTCTTATCAATAGAAAGGAGTAATCCACTTTTAATCAAGATTAGACAAAGCTCTGATATTGTAAGTGTACTCTTATCAATCTGTCAAGGACAAGAACATGATAAAAACAAATAAATAAGTGAAACTTCTCTCAAAGAAAGATGACAAAATAGAAATAACTTGATATGTATATTAAGAAAGAAACTAGAATGGCTATTGCCAAAAGCCAAGAAAACTAGAGATCCTTGAAACTAGATTGGAAGCAAAAAAAGAGTTGACAAGAGTGAAGAAGGCTTCACTCTTGTCTCTATATATACTATCTAATTAAGGGCTACGTGGCAATGTTCTATAAGACCTCTAATATGTGTTGACTTTGTAGGACACATCCCTTGACTTATTAGGCAAGTTTTTATATGTGTGGGCCACATAGTTAGCTTGGTCTTCAAGCTAATAACATGTGTGGCACATGGTCAACTTATTGACTATGTTTCTAATCCAAAAAGTCAATTAAAGATACCTATAAAGTCAAAGCAGCATCTATGAG